AGGATGTCTATTATGTTAAACAAATAACAAATGTTCCTAAGAATATGGAGAGACTGGAGCCCTTGTACACTGTTGGTACATGTAAAATACAAAATGGTGCAGCCCCTGTGGAAAACATTATGGAGTTTCCTCAAAGAAATTAAGATTAGAATCACCATCTGATCTAGCAAGTATATATCCAAAGGTATTGAGATTAAGACTTCAATGAGATATATGCACTCCCACATTCATCACAGCATTATTTCAACAGCCAACATATAGAAGTAACTTAAATGTCCATCAACAGACGAATGTAGTGTATACATACAATGGAATATTATTCAGCTTTAAAAAGAAGGAAATCCTGCCATATGTGGCAACATGGATAAGCCTAGAGGACATTATGCTGAGTGAATTAAGCCAGTCACAGGATTACTGCCTGATTCTACTTACAAGAGGTATCTAAAATAGACTCTTAGAAACAGAGAGTAGAATGGTGGTTGCCAAGGGCTGGACAAAGGGTAAAATGGGGAGTTGCTGTTTAATGGTTACAAAGTTTCAGTTATGCAAGATCAATAAGTTCTAGAGATCTGCTGTACAACACTGTGCCTATAGTTAACAATACTGTAGTTTGCACTTAAAAATTTTTAAGAGAGTAGATTTCATGTTTAATGTTCTTACTACACATGCGTAAACACACACACAAATCCTTTTGGAAGAATAGAGAGAGGGAGAGAAGGAGGAAGGAAGAAAAAAAAGAACAGGAGAGCTGGCAAATTCACAAATATGTGGAAATTAAACACATTCTTAAACAATGAATGGGTCAAAAGAGAAGTCACAGAAAATTAGAACATACTGTGAGAAGAATTAAGGAAACACAACACCAAAACTTAAGTGATTCAGTTAAACAGTGCTTGCTCAGAGGGAAATTTATGGTTCTAAATGCCTACATTTTAAGGAAAGAAAAATCTTATATCAATAATATAACCTTCCCAAGCAACTAGAAAAGAAAGAGCAAACTAAACCGAAAGCAGCAGAAGGAAGAAAGCAATAAAGATCTGAATAGAGAGAAATGAAATAGAAAATAGAAAAAGAAGCGACGCCTGGGCGGCTCAGTCAGGTAAGCGTCCAACTTTGGCTCAGGTCATGATCTCATGGTTCGTGAGTTTGAGCCCCACGTCGGGCTCTGTGCGGACAGCTCAGATCCTAGAGCCTCCTTCTGATTCTGTGTCTCTCTGCCTCTCTCCCACTCTATCTCTATCTCTCTTTCAAGAATAAATAAACATTAAAAAAATCAAAAACAAAAAGAAAATAGAAACAGAATAAATGAAATAAAAAGTTGGTTCTTTGAAAAGGTAACAAAATTACCAAACTCTACTGTTTAGCTCTACTAATTAAGGGGGGAATAAAACTCAAACTACTAAGGTAAAAAATGAAATGGGACATTGCTGTTGACTTTATAGAAATAAAATTATTATAAGAGAATACTATTAACATTTTTAAGATGATATTTTACATCATTTTGTTAAGCACACACAGCCCCTAGAGTACACACACAGCTGACACGTAATGATCTCACATAGAACTGCCATTTCAAGCCACATGCAATTATACCATGCTCTTTTACACCTGGGCCATTGCCAGCAAAGCCTGGAAGTGTATTCTTTTTTTTTTTTCTTAGTTTTAATTTAAATTCCAGTTAGTAAACACAGTGTAATATTGGTTCCAAATGTACAATGTAGTGATTCAACACTTCCACACAAGCCTGCTGTTCACCACGACAGGTGCACTTCTAAATCCTCATCCCCCACTTCCCCTATCCCTCCATTTACTTGTCTCTGGTAACCATCAGTCTGCTCTCTATAGTTAAGAATTTGCTTCTTGGTTTCCCCCCTCTCTCTTTTTTTCCCTTTGCTCATTTTTTGTTGTTGTTGTTTCTTAAGTTCCACATATGAGTGAAATCATATAGTATATGTCTTTCTCTAGCTGACTTATTTTGCTTAGCATAATGCTCTTTAGTTCTATCCATGTCGTTGAAAATGGCAATATCTCGTTCTTTTTATGGCTGAATAATATTCCATTGTATATACATATATATATATATACATATATGCATATATCATTCACATCTTCTTTATTCATCAATCAATGGACACTTATATATCAACAAATTGAATAACCTAGATGAAATAGACAAATTCTTCAAAACACACAAACTACACACACATCAACTATCAAAACTGACTCAAGAAGAAAAATAGAAAATCTAAATAGACCTAAAATAAGGAGTAAGGAGATTGAATAAGGAGATTGAATCAATAATCAAACACCTGCAACAAAGAAAAGCTCAAGACTTGATGGCTTCACTGGTAGAGCTTACTGTTTGTTTTAAGACATAAAACCAATCCTTCTGAAAGTCTTCCAAAAAATAGAAGGAGGGAACACTTTATTCTATGAAGCCAGTATTGCCCTGATATCAAAACCAGACAAAGACATCGCAAGAAAATAAAATGGTAGGGCAATATCCCTTATGAATATAGGTGCAAAAGTCCCTAACAAAATACAAGCAAACCGAATCTAACAGCATATTTAAAGGACTATATCCCATACCCATGTGGAATCTATCCCAGGAATGCAAGGATGGTCCAGCATAGGAAAAACAATCAATATATTTTACCATATTAATAGACAAAAGGGAAAAACCCACACAATCATCACAATTGATGCAGAAAAAGCATTTGACAAAATTCAATAATCTTTCATGATAAAAATACTCAGAAAAGTAGGAATAAAGGCAACTTCTTCAACGTGATAAAGTGCATCTATGAAAATCCCACTCAGTGTGAGAGACTGAAAGCTTTCCCTAAGATCAGAAACAAGACAAGGATGTCTGCTCCTGACACTTCTATTCACCATTGTACTGGAAGTTCTAGCCAGAGCGATAAGGATGGAAAAAGAAAGAAAAGACATTCCAAATTGGAAAGGAAGAGGCCAAGCTATCTCTAGTCACGGATGACATGAATATATCATAGAGACAAGTTTTAAATTAAAAAAATTATGTGCGAATGTTTATAGCGGCACTATTTACAATAGCCAAAATGTGGAAACAACCCAGTGTCCACCAAGAGATGAATGCATAAATAAAATGTGGCATACATATTCAATGGGATATTCATCAGGAATAAAGTACTGATTCATACTACAACATGGAGGAACCTTGAAACATTATGCTGTGCGAAGGAAGCAAGACACTAAAGGCCATAGACACGGAAGGCCGACTAGTGGTTGCAAGGTGCTGTGGGGAGAGGGGAATGGCCAATGACTGTTCAATGGGTGTAGTGATTCTTTGTGGAATGATGAAGGCCTTTTGGAATTAGAAAGTGTTAATAGTTGCAAATTATTTTACCTCAATTAAAAAAAATACAGAAGAGGAAACATTTAATACTTCTATTTTATGCCCAGACTTGGGCTGGTAATTTTCCATCTGTTTTCTCGCTGATCCAAGTGGACATTTGTCCATAAAGAGGTCATGACTTAATTGAAGGGAATTTGCAAACTGGAATTCAAATTTCAGAATTTGCTCTAATTCCACCTCCTCTATGAAGCATCCCCTTAACACTCCTAAAACAGAAAAAAAAAAAAAAGGCTACATAGTATATAATGCTTCTCTACCCTCAACCTTCTGATATCTGAACATATTATGCTTTGGTTTTATTTTTACATTTGTTTTCTCTTACAATGTGACATGTTTATCATCTCTCTTAACTAGTCTATGAGCTCCTCAAAATCAGGACCTGTCCTTTGTTTTTACATTTCTGTGCTCAGCACATAGTACATGCTCAAGAAAGGTTTTCACTGGCCAGCTGGAATTTCATATTTGGTTCCTGTAAGCATACTGCGTTAATGGCTCCTAAAATACCCACGTCTGTTTCACTTGCCTGTGCAACACTCAGCATCTATTTCCCAGAATGAAACTAGGTCACATCTGGGACACATGAACAGTGTTAAGAAAAGTTCCCTCTGAAACACAAAACCCTTAAGTGTATATCAAGTATAACTGAGCTGATCATGCCAAAAAATTGTAAAGGATTAAAACATTGCTTCATTATTACATTTTTGGTCTTGGCTCTTCTACTTCATTTAATAAGTTTTATAGCAACAGAATGATTTACACATGTTGAAAATCAAAACAGGATGAAAATGGCAAAAAAAAAAAAAAGCAAAGTGTTTTACTTTATGAGTCTTTTTCTTTGTGAGTTCTCCCCTACACTGTGGTTATTTTATACAAGATCCGTCTGGTTATGGAGACACCTTGTACACAAAGGATCTAAGACCTCTCTGCTATCCTATAAAAAACATTCATCAAAAGAGAAAAAATATATATAGATATATATTATATACATAGGTATGTAATACACACACACACACACACACACACACACACACCAATAAAGAGGATCTGAGGAAGAGGGCCTCTCCTGATCAAGTCACATGTAGGATAGTTTATTAAGAGAAATGCGTGGGATGAGCTGACTTTGGTGGTTTCTGGGAATAACAACAGAATTTACTGGATGCCCACAAACCTTTTGTTGTGTCTGTGCTAGACCCCACGTACAATACATTTTGGGGGCACTGTTTCCTTTATTGTTTTAGTCATTCTTCAATTGACCCCCTTGTTTGTATGTGAAAAGGTGGCAAAATATTTATTTTCTGTTGACACATTTTTTGAAAATTATGCAATGGGTTCAGTGCTAAGCACAGAGCCTACTTAGGATTCTCTCTCCCTTTCTCTGTGCCTGTCCCCCACCTGTGATTTCTCTCTCTAAAAATAAATAGATTTTTAAAAATTAAAAAAAAAGAGGAGTTTCTGAGTGGTTCTGTTGGTTAAGCATCCGACTTTGACTCAGGTCATGATCTCACAGTCTGTGAGTTCGAGCCCCATGTCAGGCTCTGTGCTGAGAGCTCAGAACCTGAAACCTGCTTCAGATTCTGTGTCTCCCTCTCCCTCCCTGCCCCTCTCCTGTTCACACTCTGTCTCAAAAATAAATAAACGTGTAAAAAAAAGAAAATTGTAAATCATTCCAAAAAGTGGCTAGGCATTTGAGAATACTAGTCATTCCATTAATGATGTTATACCCACTCGCGTCCACTATATACCCAACTATATTAAATGGCAGAGAGAAAAATCATGCACTTGCCACATCATTTCTCTTTGAATTGCATTAAAACTGAGAACGATATTTTACATCTTAATACATGCTAGCATTTTGTTGTTGTCCAGACTAAATCAATCCTGAGTTTCTTTCTTCTGTTCACATTCCATATTAGGGAAAGGGGGTCATCTGATGCAAAGGATCTGATTCCTGTGTCTCAAATTCTTGTGACATCTGTTTTTTTTTTATCCTCTCTCATACCCCTTTGTTCAGATTTATCAGCATTTATTGAATATCTTTATAAACAGTGCCTGTGCTTGGCCTATAGTAGGGGCTCAAAACTGGGACTCTATTCCCTCCCTCTCTACCTTATTATAAATATTTATTTTATCAGTCAGGGGCCTGGCCAGAAACAGAATACTGTACATTCTCCTGTTGGATTCTGATGAGAATTTAATGGGCTATTTCTAGAAGTATGGATGCAGTTGAGGAAACCAACAAGTGATGAGAGGCGCCAGGCATCCAGAAGCTGTTACTACTCTTAGGTGAGGGGAGGCAGCAATATTTTGGGAGACTGGCATGAGCCAGTGCTATGGAAGGCTGCTGCCCATCAGAAGCTGTAGTTATAGAGGGAGCTACCATTAGGCTCTTGGCATTGCGGCGGTGGAGAGAGGTTACCTCTTGTCGGCTGAACCACGCTGGAAGCCAGAGGGCAAAAAGATCCTGGATGATGCAGTTTGCAGGGTCAACTCCTGGGAAGCAGAGAAGTGAGGGGAATTGATTCAGGTGACCAAAAGAAAAATAAAGAGCAAACTCACTTTAGAATTTAATTTCGAAACAATTCATGAAGCAGTGGTATCCAAATTTTACAGAAGAAGACATTGAGGTAGTCAAGTGTAAGCAATTTGCTGAAAGTCACATGACTACTAAATGGGAGTTAAATTCCTGCCTTCTAGTTCCACGTCTGTTCATTTTTTTACCAAAATGTCTGTCTTACACTTTCCCTATTGGACCTGCCTTACATTTTTGACAATGTGGATGTTACAAACAATTGTGATTCCCATTTTTAATTTAGCTACTAGGAAGTCCAGAGTCAAATTTTAAGCCCCGTTTGCTAAGGGTTGTGGGATTTTATGGCTTGCATTTCCTAGTGGCCTTCTCTTATTATTTGATCTTACTTTCCTTTTTCTCTGATTTCTTTATCTTTTTATACTAAATATCTTCTTCCATTTTTTTGAAGAGGTAAAAAATGAAGAAATGAGTATGTAACCACGGGCCTGTGCTAAATCAGCCTTTTCCCTAATCCAGAGCCATGACTCAGTGTATAGAGACTGCCAACCCCTCATCTCCACCCCTCACACACATAAACACCCGTGATCTTTGCTTTCGAGTTTGATTTTACCATCACAGTTTTATTCAACAAAGTGCCCCCCCCCCCCCAGCCACTACCAATCAGTTAGTACTGACAGGGCAACTGAAACCTATTTGCAGTGTTTACTGTAATATGACCGGTAAATTAACTGATAATACTGCAAGATATTTAATTTGGAAATGCCCCATGGAGAGAGTGGCTTCCGTGTTTAATAGCAGACATCCTGAAAGCCTTTTACTCAAGCTCACTGCATGTGATGAGAATCAGTGTAGTCTGACTGCTTCCCACACTGCAAATACCTTAGTAAAAGGCAGGATGAGCAACTATGTGAACGTATTCTCTCTCCAAATAATTAATTTTTCTTCTCCAGGCTCAAATTTGTGGCATTATTCCAAGGATATCTCAATGGTTATTAAAAAAAAGTGCTGTGCTATTTGTTTTTTTTATCATCCTAGATAAAGGCCTATTTGGCCTTATTAATAGAGTTAGCTCCACTAAAGTTGTAGGGTCACAATTCCATTAACTAACATCCTGAAGCAGCATTATGCCATTCAGGAGAGAGTGGAATTCATTTAAGCAATTCAGGACTTGGATTCCATTCAAGACCATTTAGCAAAAGCTCTCAAAGGACCATTATTTAAGAAGCCATGCCCATAAGATTATGATGGCACAGAGCAATATAACTAAAAATATTACTGATCATAGTAGTTTCTTAGAGTTCTGTAAGTATTTGTAGATATGTGTTTTCATATATATTATCTCATAACCCCAAAACAAAGCTTTAACAAATTTCTTTTTAACACATATATACTCTCTGTGTATGTAAATGTAGAATCAAAATAAGAGTTTGAGTCTGTGGGGAAATCTATCCAAATTCACTGACTGGCATCATTAACACGTTCTTTAACCAAATTGTTCAACTTTCATGCTGTTGTGTGAAACTCAGGTGCATTGGCTTGTGAGGTTTGATCATGATGAATGGCAATGCCTTTACTTAAGCTGGTAGCCTAAACATTTTCTCTTTCTCCCCCAAGTTTATGAGTTCTCCCCCAAGTCTCTCCCTCAAGTTTATGAGACTTTAACATTGACACAGATGTGGTTATTTCCGCTTCTCAGATACATTCTGTTATTTTATGTGTCTGAGAATTAAATTAATAAAATGTTTAGGATTCTGACCCTTTCTTTAAAAAAATTTTTTTATTTTTGAGAGAGAGAGAAAGAGAGAGAGAGAGAGAGCATGAGCAGAGGAGGGGCAGAGAGATAGGGAGACACAGAATCGGAAGCAGGCTCCAGGCTCTGAGCTGTCAGCACAGAGCCCGATGAAGGGCTCGAACTCACAAACTGCAAGATCAGGACCTGAGGTGAAGTTGGACGCCTAACAGACTGAGCCACCCAGGTGCCCCAAGGATTCTGACCCCTTGTAATGAGAATCTTCCTTGATGTTGTTCTTTTCCATGCTCTTTCCACTCGTCTATTTGTTTCAAAGATGAACAATGAGCACATCGATGATGTGTTTGCATTTTAAAGGTTGCTTTCCCATGTATCACTTCATTATATTTGTATGTAGTCCTGTGTAGCAGACATCATGATGCACACTTTGCCAGACAAGATATTCATGTTCTAGCCTTCAGAACTGGACAAGCTCTGGTAGGGTCCACTGACCCAATGGTGTCATAGTCATTGGTGTTCATCATTTATTACTGATTCAAAAATATCTGTTGTTTGTCTCTCTGTGTACAACACAATACCGGACATTGTGAGGGATACACAGATATACAGAACACCCAGAATATGTTGTCTATGCTCCAGGAGTAACTTAAAGGCAATATATTCCTTCCTACCCTCAGGTCTTCCCACATGCTGTTTTCTTTAGAAGATTCTTCCTAACCCTAGCCCAGAACACTCTTCTGAACTTTTCTGAACTCTTCCTGATTTTTTTGGATCTCCATGATGAGGTACTAGGCTGTATTCACTAGTATATTCACTGTCACCAGCACAGTGCTTGGTGAATGGCAAATATTTCGTCAGTATCTGTTGACTAATTGTGTGAACTCAGCATATTACCTTAGTATCTTGCTGTCCGTGTGATAATTATGGTCTCTTGCTGCCCCAGTGAAGTTACAGCTCACATTTCTCTTGCTCTCAGAGTCCTTATTGCCACTTATGCTTCTGACTCTCAAATAAAATCCTAAAAAACAGATGATATACAAGGTCGCAAAAGTCTTTCCCTAGGACAATTTGTACTGAAACTCTGCCTGGGCCCACTGTCAGTCTAAAATAGGAAGAGCTGATCAGAGAAAACACTGGGAACTCAACAGAAAACCTGATAGAATTCACCAGTTAAATAAAAAATTAACCAATTTCTCACTTTTTCCTAGAAATAATAGAATCATAAATTATATCCTGTTTGCAATTCCAGAGTTTCAATTACACGGTTAATATTCAGCATATAATAATCCATGACAAATTTACAATAAACTTATTTCTTTAAATGACCAAAACATAAATGTAAGAGATTTAATAGACAAAATGCCATATCTCCATTATAATATTCTGAAGTTGTTATATAGATATTAAGAACTATTACACATATTTTTAACCCTATGCAACTTTGGTCATTATCATCATCATCCTCGTCGACATCATCATCATCATCATCTTCTACTCAAACATCTGTACATTTTTGGCATGGACATTGGGCCTGGCACTTAGTGTGTGTTCAGTGCTTTTGAGATGAATGCATATTCATATACTATGACTGAGAATTCACAAGAACTTTATGGTACACAAAGAAAACAGTTTTCCGGCCATTATTCCATTTGAACCCCATAACAACCCGATGAACGAGGTATAGGAATGATTACCAACTCTTATGTTAAACATGGGGAGTGGGAGTGGGGATTGATTGATTTGTCTAAGTTCAGTCACAATTATTATTATGTGGTATGTGTAGAGGTGCCATCATACCCAAGTCTTGAGACCAACTCCCAGCGCTCTGCTGGCTTGACTTTCAAACGTAAATTTATGTATGGGGGAAGCAGGTGAAAATTCCGTAACATGTTAAATGGTGCTCAGTACAGTTTTGAAATATCAAAATAGAATTGGTGTGATTTCTTAAATTAGAGACTCATTAATCTAAACAGACAGATACACCATTGAAACAAATTTAGGACCTGAAAATAATTGAATACATTGTCTTAGGACTAAATTTAGAGGAAACCACAGGGTGTGTGGAACAAAAACAACCATGCTATTAGTGAACTGTCAGCATCTCTTAGTCCGAAGGAGTGAATAATTATCACAAGAGAAAAGGACAAATAAAGCATAAGTAAGCAATGGTTGTAACAGTGTTCCCCTGGGGATAATTATTTGTCTTTATTGCATTCTATAGATGATGTAGAACCTTCTATTTTCATTTTTATAGTCATATTTGATGTGTGCAATTTAAAAGTTCGCTTTTTAATAAGCAAATTATTTTCTTAATGTGTTTTATACTTGGTAAACATTTAGATTTTACATAAGACACTATAAACATTTTTAAACAACTAGCGCCTCATTATTTAACAACAGACCATTGTTTATTCATCTGGCACAACAATCAATAAACATCTAATAACTTTGCAGTAATTAGAACTGTTCAGAGAAAGAGAACAACCTCAGGAGTTCCATGTGATTGGAATCTTCTGGGTGAGGCTGGTAGTGGCGTGAAGGAGAAAATTCCTGCTTCAAGTAATAGGATGGGTCTCTTTATATCTTTAATTCTTACAAAGTATGTAACCGTCCTTATGTCAAAGGAGGTCTTCAATTTGCTTGCAGTGAAAGTACAGGTATTTATGATAATAATAAAAAAAGCCCCACAAGAACAACCCAGCATTCTCTAAAGGTAACTAATTAGTGAAAGAGAAGGAGAGGAGAGAGATTTTATTATGAATAATTTATTATGAACTCAGGAAAATATAACTGTGTAGAAAACATAGTCGTGAGCTTTTTAGCAACTAGGTGAAAAATAGAGAAACATTATCCCTCATAGGAGTGTATGTTGTAGATGAGGACTTGGTGAAATTCAAAACCCAGAAAGTAAGGCTATGGTGTGGACCAGGTGCAAATCTTCCGGAGGATGACTGCCCCCAGAGAAAAGCTTATAGGAGGTGTGGTGCGGTTGCTAAGGAAGGTGATTCCTACCTCACATGGCCCTACATTTCTGTGGAAAAAGGATGCATCTCTCTTCTCTACTTAAAACCCTTTGATGGCAATCCATTGTATTCATGAAAAAATCGGGAACTTTTACCATGGCCTTCAAGGCCCTACATGACCCAGCTTCTGCTCATTTGCTTTTTCCCTGAATTCCTCTGCTCTCACCATGATGGGTCTGTACCAATTGGTCAAATGCGTTGAGTTCTTCCTACTCAGTGCTTCTTCAGATGCTGCTCCTTCTACTGGAAGTACTCTCTTCCCACCCTTCCACCTGGCTAATTTCTATTCATTTAATAGATTTTAAGTATTCCTTCTGCAGAGAAGACCACACTGGCCTCCACCTCACTCCGTTTGTGCTAAATCACACCGACAACTCTTTTACATGGTATCTGGCATTTTTCATTGTTTCTGGCACTAGAAACAACCTATTTGTACTTTTATTTCCTTAAAGTATACACACGGGTTAGTATACACCCATACATATATTTTCTAGCTCTTTCCACTGAAGGCCTAGAAGTACATCTAGCTCCAGATCTTGGTTTCTAATACCTTTCTCCAATTAATGGAGCCAGGGATCCTTGGAGAAATGGTTGATTCTAGGGCTGGGGCAGAGAAAATGCAAGATGAGTCTGGAGCATCTTGTAGTGACAGGAAGCAAGGAAATGCTTTAAAAAATGGTGATTCATGAAAAAGACACAGTGGTCAACCTGCAAGAACTCCCAAAGACCAAAGCTGGGGTGGTTTGAACCAGAAAAGAAGTAATGACTATTGGATTATAACTTAAAGAATAAAATCAACATCCATGAATTCATACTGATATAAAGGACCGAGTAAATAATCAGAGGAGGAACAAATGTTTCTTACAGGACAATTACAGAAAATAAATGCACCTCCAGGAGGTAGAACTGTATTCCTCTCCCCTTGAATGTGGGCTAGATTTAGTCACTGACTTCTAACTAACAGAGTATGAAAACACAAATATAGGAACTTTACAGTCAAGAAATCTGACATGCAGTCCCTCAACTAAGAGATTAAGGTTAGTATCACCAGTGATAAATCACATTTATAGCATGCATCCTTGACATGATGTGATGAAAAAGACACTCCACCCTTTAACCCATCCAAAAAATCTACAACACCAGCCTATTAGGAGAAAATACCAGGCAAACCCATGCCAAGGGACTTCCTACAAAATACCTGACCATGAATTTTCAAAGGTGTCAAGGTCATGTAAAACATGACCTGAGAAACTGTCACAGACTGCAAGAGACCAGATGTGATCATGATATTGTCTATTACAACACAGTTAATAGTATTGCACCAATGTGGATTGCTTAGTAGTGATAAATATGTTATGGTTGTGTAAGATATTAGCACTAGGGGACAAAGAGGGAAATTTCTGTATTGTCTACAACTCTCCTGCAAACTAAAATTATTTCAAAACTGTTTCAAAAAAGGTATTTTAAAAACATCTGCTCCGTTAGCAGGAGTCTCCTGTCGTGATCACCACTGTATGCCCATTTCGAGAACAGGGGTGCGTGCTGGATAAAACTTTGGGTTCTGGGGCCTGGCTCCGTGTTTGATTCCTGGCTCTAACACTGGTGGGTCTTGCTGTCAGCAAGTTTTGTAAGCATTCCATGTCTCAGCTTTCTCATCTAAAAAAGAATGCAAAGTGGTTGGAGAATCGGAGGCCTTAATATGTGTAAAACATGGGGGCGCCTGGGTGGCTCAGTCGGTTGGGTGTCCGACTTCCGCTCAGGTCACGATCTCGCGATTGATGAGTTTGAACCCCGCGTCGGGCTCTATGCTGATGGCTCAGAGCCTGGAGCCTGCCTCAGATTCTGTGTCTCCCTCTCTCTCTGCCCCTCCCCCGCTCATGCTCTGTCTCTCTCTGCCTCAAAAATAAGTACACACTAAAAAAATGTAATATATGTAAAAGATGTACAGCAGTGCAAGTTATCACTGATGTAATTCCCATTTAATGTATCAACACTGACTGAGAGAATGAATGATGGGAGGTTTTCCTTTTTGTTTTTGTTTGGTTAAGAGTGAGTCACAGTTCCCTCGACATCAGAAAGAGTTTGGAGAAGAGGTTCAGGGGATGGAGTAGGATGAATGGAATGGGGCTCCGTGAGGCACCATAGATGGTTGGCATCAGGATGGCAAGAAGCGTAAGGCTAAGCTGTGGGGAGTGAAGCATGGAGCAAAGTTGACACGGAAGTGTGTCTGATTGGCCAACAAAGAGGAGCAGTTAGCCTCTCTGGGCACACCGCCCTTCCTTAAGTTCTCCACTCTTCCCCGCTCTGCTGCGTGTTTGCAGGGGTCTGACCCGTGCACGCTGCACTTCTCAGCCTCCTACTTCAGCTGGTTTCAGCTGAATGTGACCAAGGGGACATACTGGTGGGAGACTGGAGAGTAAGGGAGAGGCCAGAGGTTTTCTCTCCTTCCCTCTCAGTCTTGGGCAGCAATTCTAGCAGCAGCCACATCTCTTCTACAAACAGTCCTTCCACAGTCTCAGCTTTTGGCCAAGGGCCAGTAACACCACCTTTTCTTCTGTCCCTCTGGTCTAGGGTCTTAGCAGCTTCCTTCTGTAATTATTCTCTGCGTTGCCTCACTGTCTTCTAGTTGGCTCTCAGTTCCTCTATTACCTACGTAGCTTATTCCCGGTTTTGAAATCCCTCTTAGGAATGCTCAGGTGGCTTCCATGTTCTGCTTAGATTCTGACAGAAACAAAAGGCATGATGCAACTCCCCGTTTTCCAGACCGACTGGAACCCTGGAGAAGGTTTTCCAGGGCTACCACAGACAGATACTGGTTGTGTCCCTAAGCATCAATTACATAGTCAGTGTGCTATGAACTTGCCTGGGCTTCAGGATATTTTGAAGTTTAGAAGGAGGTACTGGTGACAGCCTGTTTAGGATTACCCACACACCATGGCCTTCTGGGCAGTCCCACACAGAACTAACAAATTTGATGGAGGGGGTGGGGGGGTTT